GGAGTTTCCAACTTCGCAATTGCGATGAGTTTTCCGCGATTGTGGAGTTCGCAAGTGCGAACCCCTTGTTGCAAATGCGACTTCTTGAACCTGTTAAGTGCTGAGAATTCTGAGTTTTGCTTCATTTTCTCATATTTTTTAACCCTAGGTCCGAGAGTGGGCGATTTTAAGAAAAGATTTTCATACCAAATTATTGGGTAAGTGTATCTAATCAATCTCCAACTATATTTCGTGATTATATCTTAGATTTAATTTCAAATTTATGAGAATCTAAAGGAAAATTTGGGAAAAATTGTAAAGTCTTTCAAAAATGTAAAATGATGATTTGAAGGACCAAATGGTATCCAAAAGTTGGAACAGCTCCGTTATGTCATTTGGGACTTGCCTGCAAAATTTGGTGTCGTTTGGAGTTGATTTGATATGGTTCGGACGCTTGGTTGCAATTCTAGAAGTTCTTGAAGTTCATAGTGATTTTCATGTGTTTTGGCATCCGATTCATGGTTCTAGAGGTTATTTTGGTGTTCCGATCACGCGAGCGAGTTTGTCTTATGTGTTCAGACTTGTGTGGGTGCTTGGTTTGGAGCCCCGAGGGCTCGGGTGAGTTTCGGAGTGGTTTCGGAATAACTTTCATGAATTTTGATTTTTCTGGTTCTGCTTTCTTCACATTTGCGACGTTCTGGTTGCAAATGCAGCCATCGCATTTGCGAAGAATTCTCGCATTTGCGGTGCTGGGCGGCTGGGCTTTTTTCCATATTTGTGATGAGGCTCCCGTATTTGCGAAAGCGGACCTTCACATTTGCAAAGCTTTTGTCGCAAATGCAACCTTAACAAGGGAGTTTCCAGCTTCGCAATTGCGATAAGTTTCCCGCAATTGTGGGGATGCGACATCTGCAACCTGTTAAGTGCTGAGAATTCCAAGTTTTGCTTTATTTTTTCATATTTTTGAACCCTAGGTCCGAGAGTGGGCGATCTTGGGAGATGATTTTCATACCAAATCATTGGGTAAGTGTCTCTAATCAATCTCCAACTATATTTCGTGATTATATCTTAGATTTAACATGAAATCCATGAGAATCTAAAGGAAAATTTGGGAAAAGTTGTAAAGTCTTTCAAAAATGTAAAATGATAATTTGAAGGACCAAATGGTATCGGAATTTGATAATTTTTGTATGGGTGAACTCGTATCGGAATGGGTATCCGGTTTTTTGTAAATTTTGTCGGGTTCGAGGTGCGGGCCCGCGGAGTTGACTTTTGTTGACTTTTTGCAAATTGTATAAGAATCATATCTTTGTTAATTGAAATTGTTTTCTCTTGCATTGTTTGATGTATTTAAGTCGTTTTTGGCTAGATTGAGCCGAGAGTTGATGAATTGGTAAAGGAAAAGCTAAATTGAGTGTTGAATTAGCCGAATTGAGGTAAGTATCTTGCCTAACCTTGTGTGGGAGACTCCCCCTTAGGATTTGAGTCCTCTATGTTAATTGTATCCCGTGCATGTGAGGTAACGAGTGCGTGCTCGGTCTTATTTGTGAAAAATTTGCCCTTATGGTTCTTAGGTCCTTATGTTCATTAATCGGGAAGTTTCCTGATATAATTGAGTTTCCTATTTGCTAGTTTTACCTCTACATGCTCTATATGATGTTGTTAGCTTTTCTCTAACTCTTACTTGTTATTTGACCCCTATTTGCCTTAATTGAAGTGATTGCCTTTCTTATTGTTTTGATATTTCTTAATTGTGAGTTCCTCTATGACCCCGTGCATATATGCTACGTGTCCAAATTGTTGTTGTTGCCTGTGTAGTTATCACGTGCCTTACATGTATTGTTGTTTTCATAAAGGTTGTTGTGCTTCTTGATTTCTCGTGATTCTCTTGTTGCCGTGTACTCCTACTCTTGGTAGTATAAATTCTTGTAATTGAGTTGTGGATTTGTTGTTGCTGTTGATTTAAGCTATTATTTGATGGGATCGTGTTGCACGACGCAACATGAGGAATAAGGATGATATATTGAGGAGGAATAAGGGAGAATTGATATTGTCTGGTGGGATCGGGTTGCACGCCGCAACATGAGTAATAAGGATGGACAGGTAGGATCGGGTTGCACGCCGCAACATGAGGAATAAGGATGATATATTGAGGAGCAATAAGGGTGGACTGGTGGGATCGGGTTGCGCGCCGCAACATATATATATAATTTATTTACTTCTATTATAATTGTTAAGGAGGAATAAGGGAGGATTGGTGGGATCGGGTTGCACGCCGCAACATATATATACTATTTACTTTTATTGTAATTGTTACGGAGGAATAAGGGAGGATTGGTGGGATCAGGATGCGCGCCGCGTCAATATATATGCTTATGTATTCCTCTTTAACTGTGCAAGTCATTCGGTGGTTTTACATTTCATTTAGGGATTGGTTATAGCTGAATACTGAGAAGACCCTAGTTCATTTGTTTAAGACTTTGATAATTTGTATTTTGGGTTTCACTGAGTTGTGAGATCGGGTTATTGACTTGTCGTTGTTCTTTGAATTTTTTTTCCTGAAACTATTACTCTGGTGAATTAATTTTTAAAGTAAATTTACTACATTGAATCATTTTCTCCTGTCCTGTTGAGTTATGAGTAATATCGTGATTTAAAATAAAGGAATTAGTATTTTTCTACTATATATGACTTTTAAATTTGAACTCGCCGTGTATATATACACCTTTCAATAATTCAAATTCTTATAAAGGTTATATTTTATTCCAATTAGTTTCTCAATTAAATTTTCTTAACCCGATGATATTGAATCTTACTTAAAAAGGAATTTCTACTAAGTTTTAATTTAATAAATCCTATATTAAAGGTAATAATTTATTTGATGTTGTATTTTATTGGAAAAGGGTATTTTCTTTATTCAAATGATTTCTAAAAATAACTTCATCTTTTCTTGATGATTTCTTAATTGGTTTAGAAACCGTAGTTTACTTTATGTTATATAAATGAGACTCCTTGAACACCTTATTTGCATTGGTTATGGACCCTACGTACTGAGTAGCATGGGGATGATGTTCTGCAAAGTGAGATAGAAATATGTGGCACATGGTGCCGTATGTGCTAAAGGTTTGGATATTGAGGATATAATATGAGACATCGAGTTTTGAGATGGTTGGAATTGTGTATCAGAAATGATGTGATTGAGTGAGTTAACATCGCCTTCCTTATTTGAGTACATTTTTACTTGTTTGTGTCCTAGCTATGTTGGTGTTAACTTACTTGGTTATCTTATGTTACCATCCGTGTTTCCGTTTTATTGTCTCTATGTTTGTAGTTTGATTTCTCCCTGTTATTGGTATTATTTTCTTGTCTTTACCATTGTTAGTTTATTACTATATCATATTCAATTTATTAGACTGGTAGGTGTCTTGATTGTCCCTCGTCATTACTCCATCGAGGTTAGTCTTGATATTTACTGGGCACCGCTGTGGTGTGCTCATACTACACTTCTATACCTTTTTGTACAGACCCAGGTATTTGATCGATGTTAGCTGTGTTGATCGTCGCGGTGGAGACTCAAGGTAAACCTGCTGCTGCGTTCGCAGGCCTCGGAGTCACCTTCATTTGTACTTATTTCCATTTGTTCCTTTTGTTCTGGAACAGTGATGTATTTATTATGTATAACTACTCCTAGAAAGGCTTATGACTTGTACTACCGGTTTTGGGAACTGTAATCGTTCAGAGTTATCTAATTTGAAGTTAGTGAATATCAATGTTATTTCTGTAAATGTTAGGCTTACCTAGTTTAGAGACTAGGTACCATCACGACTCCTTCGGAGGAATTTTGGGTCATGACAATTTGGCTATTTTTGAATTTCACCCCTTAAATTTCTGATTCAATTGAAAAATAAGATGGCAACCAAAGTGTCCTATTTGTGCAATACTTATCCCAATAAGAAATATTTCTTTTGCTGGGCTAGCCCAAACTCGAGTTTAATGAACCTTGGTGTCACATATTGTACATGTAAAAAGGGGTTTGCTCAGCAAAAAGATGCAAGCATACATTTAAGTCTAAGTGAAGAATATTATGTTGAGGAGGTACACAAGTACACACCATTTGGGTGTGAGAAATTACTTTTTGAATCATAAATATAAAAAGTTATTTATGATTAGTAAGCACGTTTTTTACTAAGTACTTTTTTTCTTTCACATTTCACTCAATTATTATTATTTAGCAGCACAGCGTCCTACTCCGATACTAAGGGACTCAAGCCTCTTAAATCTTAAACCCAAACCACAAAATATTAGGACTAATATCCACTTAGTCTAGTTAATAACGAAGCACATTTGGTCTAATTAACTAGAATCAATTAATATCCATTATCCAACAGAATAAATTACGTGCAAAACCAGAATGAAGCCGTTTTAATTTGGACTTTGCATAATTATAAGAAGTAGGAGTAATTAATTACAAAGTGGCCAAACTGGCTAGCAAATTTACTTTTTGGTGGTAATTTTTTTTTTACTTTCTCCTTATATTAGGAAGTTTCTGCATGTTGCATTCCTTCTGTAATGTATTACTTCATTGCAAGTACAACTTTACTCAAAGAATACCTTCTTTTTCTTAAATATTTACCGATTCCCGTTTGATCTCTAGCAACATGGATTAATCTACACCCTAATTTCCTTATGTCCAGTTGTAAAAAATTTACAAGACAATGAAATTAGGCTTTCCAAGGGTACAGATTGTACATTCATAATTAACGGGTGTTTTGCATGTGTCCAGTCTAGAATATTTGAAGAAAAAAAAAAATTAAGTTAGGGGAAAAATGCATGTTAGAATAAGAATATAATGGTTACTTGTACAACCAGAAGAATACTACGTACTAAAGCTTCAGAAACTGAGCACTTCTCAAACATATACATTGAGTCTTGAACCCTTGATCAGTTAGTAGTTTTCTTTGAAGTTCATTGAAAGATATCTTCATTTCACAACCATGAAATCAGACAAAGGAAAAGGAAAAATGACAAATAATATAGGTGAATTACTCGAAGAATGGTATGAAGATGAGGGGCTAGAAGATGTACAAATAGACATATCAATGCTAGAAAATGATGATTGTCAAGGTGACAACACAAACAATGAAGGAATTCATGGCAGTGCTACTGATGCTCATCATCATGGTCTTGGAGTTAGGAATTCGCGTCGCAATTTGCAAAAACGTGCATGTCCATTTGTGTTAAAGATTTATGAAATGCTTGCTGATATTCAGTTCAATCCCTTGATTTCTTGGAATGGTAATGGTACCAGTTTCATTATCCATGATTGTCATAAATTTGCTGCTGAAGTTCTCCCCCGTTTTTTCCGCCATAACAATATCTCTAGCTTCGTCTGCCAACTCAACTGCTATGTGAGTATATATGATTTTATTAATATTGCATTGTATTTATGTTAATGCAGAGATTACTTTTTAAGGTGATGTTTTTATGTTTTGGTTTGTGATGAAAATAACAATAGGGATTCAGGAAAATAAGTTGGGACAAATTTGAGTTTCAGCATGAATGTTTCCAGAGAGGAAAAGGGCAGTGGTTGAAGAATATCAAGAGGAAGGGTAGTAAAAAGTCCGAGATGAATCAGCAGCCACAAGAGCAAGGTATTGACGAAACAGTTGCAGTTACAATGGAGAAGGAAATTGAAGAAATCAGAGAAGAGCAAAATGCAATGAGGGAAGAAATCATAATGCTGCACCAACAGCTAGACATACTAGAGAAAGAGATGGAAGATAATACTAAGCAAGCTCGGAACCATGTCTCCTCCAAGAAAGCCAAAATACTCGAGTATTTGTTGGGACCTTTGTTTGAGTGTATAGGAGAGCTTGGTAGCAGTGAAGTAGCACAGGAACTGGAGGAGGAAGAGAAACAGGGTGATGACATAGAAGATGGTGTTGAAAATCGAGGCGAAAAAAGGAAAAAGCAAGTTGGAGAAGAGTTGCAGGGAAAGAATGAAGGAAGCAAGAAGATTGCAGCTGCAGGTGTTTCAGATTTTAAATCTGATTCGGATCTGAGGAAGATGCTTATGGATGAGATGGACATGAACAATTTGGCTCAAGAGCAACCTGATAATTTCCTGGAGTCGGCGGAACAGGCCGAAGGTCCATCTTTTTGGATTGATTATGTGGAAAAGCTAGATCACAAGCCTATCCTCTCTGGAGTTGGCCCTTCCGGAAAACCAAACTTCCAAGCTATTTCATGTATACTCTCTACTTAATTACAATTTCATAAAATCATGATGTTGACAGGACTCAATGCTTCATTCCCATTTTCTCATTTGTTCCTCCTCTTTTTATTCATTTCATTTTGCTTCGCCGATTTTCTGATTCAAATTCATTTTGCAGGATTAAGTAATCGGGAGGTTCCTGTGGCATGGTAATGCTTACCAAGAAGAATCAAGACTTTGTTTTCATATAGTTGTAGCTGTTACTAGTTTTTCTTTTAGCTGTTGACTTGCATTCCTGCATCTTCGTTTCTTTGCTATAGTTTGTTATATCAGTTGGACAAGTTAATTTTCCTCTCTACCAATACTAGTGTTCAGACATTGATCGCATATATCCAGTATAATATGATGTACGTGTTAATAGAAATCTCAATACTAATGAATGCTTAATTTCTTGTCGATAATGATCGACTGTGTCAACTGCCAGTCAATCCTAGCTTCATTGGGCTTCAGGGGTTCAAAGAAGAAGCTAGATCATAAACCACCATCACCAATGCAAATGATACGTACATCAACACAGGTGGTTGACTTCACTAACAACTCACACCATGCATATACAGTAGAATAAAGGGAAGATCCGGCAGATAAATACTTATAAAAAGACTAGTCGCAGGGAGGAAATCATTCCACGAAAATGCTCGTGCAATATTCATACACCTAAAGCAAGAAGAAAGCACATGCAGGCATGCATTTTAACAGCAGTGGATAGGGAACTCTTCAAACAAGCCTCAAAGCAAAAATTAGAGAAACTTGTATTCCGTTGAAGCAATATTGTGCCGTTAATAGGCTTAACTAAATGGTGTTCGAAATAAAACACCTCAACAATATATGGGAACATACAGATTACGAGTTAGCAACTCTCCTATCGACGTTGTTCATTTCACCTTTATTATGATGCAAAAACAGAAAAATTGATCCTCTAGAGCATAGGACCCCGTGTAGCTGCAAAATTGGAACGACAGGACACCTACAAACAACCAGGGCCAAGGAGTTGCTAAAAGAATTAAACAAACAAATCCATTCACATCAGAAAACTTTTGTAATAGCCTAGTGGAATTTCAAGATAAATCCATGGGGAGCTCCTACAAAACGTTGAGGGTATAACAGCTCCTTAAATCTGGCTCGAGTCTCTTCCAAAAATGTACCGCCTTACCCAGTCAGAGACAACTAGTGCCCTTGTACGCCAACTAACTTGTTTGCTGGAAATTCAAAAACATGGTAACCATCAGATCTCCATAGAAGGTTAAGACACGTTAATGGAGAAGCAACAAGACAAAAACTTGAAAGAATTACCTAGCATACACAGAATACCAGAGCCACTGAGTGCTGTGACCAATTGAAACCCAATCTCCTGGAAGCTGTGCTGCTGTTTGCTCTCCTCCCAAGGGTGCAAACTGTCCCAAATGTCGGTACCTGGAACAACCATTTGTACAGCGTTAAAAAAAACTTCTTCAAGCCAAAATTACAACACATTCCAGATATTTTATTTTAATGCCGTTCATCCTCCTTAAACTTCCCTCCCACTAATGATTGTGTGCACCCGAGCTTCCTACATTTCTGTTATGGTTTTAGAAGTTAATATACTGCATGAGACCGCTAGCAAAATCTCAGATATCCCACGAGACATCTCATCATGTGATCATCTAACAATTTCTGACCAAATTAAGTTGTGCGCTTCACTCGTGTTGTGCTGAGGAAGACAATCTCATAGAGAGGTGATGCTAAGAAATGATCAGACAAGCCCGACTGGTACCTGAATGGGTGAAAGCGATGGCGACCTTCTCCTCTAAATCGAAGAGGACCTTCTGGATTTTTTTCACATTCCTCCATACGATTAAAGCATTTAGCTAAGTAGACACCTTGCTGAGATGCAACCTGAACAAGTCGTCGCACATGCAACAAAGATATTTAAGCACGCATGCATCCATCAGAAACACAAACAGAAGCTACAAGCACAGTCTTGTTTGCATAATACCTGAGCTGTTGCTGGGAGATTCTTCATCTCAGAATCCACTTGGGACAGAGCTGATTTAAATTCTTCAATATTCACCTCAACTGATTCTTTAACACCATCTCCTTTTGATTCTTTCAAGAGATCGGCCAGATTACTCATTTTTTTACTTTTCAAGTAAAGCTCTACTTGCGGGTATCTTTCACATATGTCTTTAAGTACTTCCTGAAATTCTTTGACGGTAAGTGTTCCAGAGTTATCCTTGTCTGCTTTATGAAATATCGCAGCAATATCTTCCTGAACAATGAGAAAATTGGCAAAACAAAGATCAGTATTTGCAAAATTTAATATCTAATAATTCAAAATTCAAACCAGTTCTATTTTATCAGATGCTGACTGTTTCCGATGTTAATTAACCAAAAGGTCACCGGTTATATTTAAAATAACAAGTATCCTGAAAATTATTGCTCGCTTTGTACCCCTATTTGAGTTTTTTCTAAGCTTTGAAGTAAAGTGCAAATTACAATGTGTAGCCTGTAGATATTTCCTAAGCTCCAACAGTGTTGCCGTCATGGGTAAAAGAAAATGAAGTTGAAAGTTATTGTCTACTCAGAACTGGTTGAGAAAATAGATGGACAGGAAGATTGCACTCTAGTGGAATGCTAGATCGAATGACCACCCAATATAAGAAATGTGATCAGGAAGTGAAGGTGAATTACCATGACTTTCCGCTGGTTGATTGTTGCACAGTCACCAAGTGCATATACGTTGTCCTGTCCCTCAACACGCAGCCACTCATCAGTTGCTAACACTCGTCTGTTACCCTGTTACCAAATAGAGCTTTCACATAAGCAACATAAATAACAATAAAATCAAACAAAAGCTTGACCGAAGCATTACATTAGCTCCCAATAAACAAGGAAAGATACCTGACCAATGTGCTTCATAAATTCCATAATTACTGGACGAGTTCCAATACCAGTTGACCAGACAGCCATTCCATAAGGCATTGAAGTTATATCTCCACGTTTGACATCCTTGGTAGAAATTTCTTTATCTCCTACCTTCACAACCATTGATCCTGTTTTTACATCAATACCATCTCTCTGGAATTTTTCTTCAGCAAAAGCGGTAATGCGCTTGTCAAACCTACAAATGAAAAGTACAAATTACCACATTAGAACACAAGTGAAAGTGGAAAATGAGCTCATAATGAAACAGCATGTTCCAAGTCAAAGAGGTGGCAGTGGAAATAGAAACATAAGAATTTGCTTCAAATTACCCATCACCTAGGAAAATTAGACATTAGGATGACGGCTAGCTAATAATTAACCAACTATTTTTGCCAGTACTTTGCCTAAGGACCAATAGAAGCGCATCTACTGAAAGATCTGCATAAACTGATAGATTTTGGAATATAAGCCACTTTACTTCAACCTCTTTCTAAAGTTCTATTACCCACATAACTGCAGAAGTACGGCATCACTGCTCACTCTTTGAAGCATATCACCGAAGCAGCCTGATTTAATTGCCCATCACCAAAAGAAAAGAAGGTGGGAAAAAAGGAAGGAATAGAAACAGATTTGATTTTCTGTTTTGCTCACAGAAAACAATGATCGACCAACCAACAACTGTTAAACCAGAGGAAGCAGCTAAAGTGTCCCTTTGCTTTGTGCCTCTTTTAACCACATTATGTCCTATGTCTGGGTATTACATCCTAATGTTGAGGGAGGGAAACAGCCTTTGCGTTCAAACATCTTTTATTTACAACAAGCTCAATCAAGGGCCAGAAATTGGAACTTTAAGAGCAGAGTTTCCACTACTAGGCATCACTGGTAAGCCAAGCGTGACAAATCACTCTTAACAAGTTCTTACATTTGCATATCCAAAACTATGTTGCCTGAAAGAGGTATTATCTTCACCAAGACATTTCTTTACAGACTGGGCAACGTATATATCTCACTTCCAAAATTTGGTCGATCAAGAAACAATTAATCAGTATATGAAATATACTTTAGATTTAATTACCAAAAAGACGTATATTTTGAGATGACCGCTTAATAGAGGTGCTGTCTTACATGTTCAGAATATGATCTGTTGCCTCAAGAAGTGTTATCTTCACCAAATCTTTGACTTTAGGATATATTCTAACTATATCTTCATTGACAAAGTCGTGAAGCTGCGCCGCAAACTCCACACCAGTTGGTCCACCACCAACAATAACAAAGTGAAGCAGTCTCTTCCTCTCCTCATCACTGAGGGTCGGCAGACTTGCTTTCTCAAAACAGTCAATAACAGTTCTACGGATCTTTTGAGCATCTTCTACTTCCTGCACAAAGGCATTCCGATGGGAAATGTAAAGATCAACGCTTTGCATGTGCTATATATGACGCCAACCTAATCTTAAATAAGTTATCTAAAACTCATTTCATGGCATCACAAACTTCAAATACTATTCCAGGGATTACCTTCAAGAAAAAGGTGTTCTCTTCAACACCAGGAATGTTAAATGTGTTTACACGGGCTCCAACGGAAATCACAAGATAGTCATAATCAACAGCAAACTCTTCCTTCCCTTTCCCATCGGTGTCTAGATTTGATCGACAATATACTTTCTTGTTCTCTGGATCAATTTTGACACATTCAGCTTCCCAGTAGCAGGCATCTACATGTTTCTGCTAGGAGGACCACATATAACATCAGAGAGAACACAATATTTCATTAACTAGCCTTGACATTCATAATATAGATAGCAAAGTTGAATGAATTTATTATACTTGCAGCACGGTGGCAAAGAACAAACAATACTTGCAGAGTTGGTTTAGCCAATGAACAAGAATGTTGCAGGTGCTGCTATAGGCTTTGCATTGAAGAATTAAAATGAAACACAAACAAAATGTTACAAGTTCGGATTACCATTTTCCTACCTTTCTGATAATGTTGCGGATTGGTTCAACAACGCTGCGACTCTCCACTGTGCCACACGTAACACTTGGCAGCAAAGGGGTGAATGCGAAGTAATTTCTTGGAGATATCACTTGGA